TCATCATGGGGAATAACTACCACCAGCTGCCCAGCCACTCAAGCAGGCCCAGCCAAGTTGGCACACAAACATAACTACCACAGCAGTCAAATGCCTTAAGCACTACGCCACCAGAGCACCTCAGTTTTCTCATCTACAAAATAAACATAATAATCCTCCCGCTGTTATTGAGTGGATTCTGACTCACAGCAACCGTGTAGGATAGAGTAGAAATGCCTCCTTAAGTTTCCAAGACTGTAAATCTTTACAGAATCAGGCTGCCTCATCTTTTTCACACAGAGCAGCTGGTGGGTTTGAACCACTCACCTTTTGGTTAGCAGCCAAATGCCTTAACCACTATACCACCAGAGCTCCTTGAGGATAATAATAGGATTAAATGAGCTAATTTGTGTAAAGTTCTGGGCACTTAGGAGGTCCATATATTGTAAATTGTGTGATTTGGGGCAAGATTTTTAACGACTGTAAGCCTGTTTCCTAAGTGTGTACCTATCCCTCAGGGTTCCATTAAAGCTCATGAATGGTTCCTAGCCACGCACAGATCATAGGAAGAACTGGATAATTATCAGCTGGTATAGAAGGTTGGGCATTCCTACTTCCGTAGTGATACTGCCTTGGAAACCCAAGGAGGGGTCGCTATGAGTCGGGGCCAACTCGATGGCAAATAACAACAACAACAACAACAACAGCTATTATCCTCCTAGCCACTCAGTCACCCACTCTCCTCTGGACAGAGAAAGCCCCCTCTCCTCCCACCCCACTGGGTGTTTCCACTCCTCATCCATCTCCCCCCTCCCTTCAACTATGCCTTTGTCTGTGCAGTTGTCTAAGGGGCAGACATTTTATCTTCTCTCTTTCTTAGTCCCTTGTTGTAAAATGGCGGCCTCTATTCACTGTTTTAACCTGTCAGTGGCTTCATGTTGGTTCAGCTGGCAGGGCTTGTAGCAACTACAATGCAAGCACACAAATCCAGGTGCAAAAACCCAGCAACAACACCCCTCACTCTTTGCCAGGCACTTGTCACTTCTTGTTCATTTTACATGTTTTATCTCATACAGTACTGAAATCCCAACAAGTCTATCCTCATTATCCCCATTTATGGATGAGAAAACAGAGTTAGCAAGGCTTGGAGGGAGAATAGGCAACTATTTCAATGAGCATGTTGAGGGAGAGGGGGCTGTGTGTGTGAAAGAGAGAAAGAGAGAGATACAACACGATATTACAGAGGAGGCAGTGAGAAGGCTGAGGGAGCAGAGAGCTGGCTTTAACACTGTAGGGGAGTGGGCCTATAAGTGGAGCCAGGATGTGGCAGATATGGGATTTGAACCCGGTACATCAACCTCCAAATCCCGTGCCATTAATCATTATAAGATGAATGCCTGGCACATAGTAGGGTTTATCCTGCTGCCTTACTCTGGACAGTTTTCTCCTATTTCTACCTGTGTCCCTCCTTTAAGGCTCAGCTCAAAAGCAGCCTCACCCTCAACAGATGTGTTCACTCCCTGTTGCTATAGGGTGAGGGATATGGGGGACATCAGTGCTGGCGTTGAGAAGGTTTGGACCCTAAGATGAGTCAGCTGGGGTGGAGCTAGAAGAAGGACTTTGAGTTTTGCAGAATTTTGTCCTGAGTTTATACACAGGAGTTGAAGTTGCTACAAGGGCTGGATAAACCCATAACAAAATAACTCATAATGGGCTCTGATTAGTTGGAACAGTGAATTCCAATCACTTAGCAACAGTGTTTGGGGATGAGGACTGGAAGCCATTTCCAGGCAGGAGACTGGGAGGGAAAGAGAGACAAAATGCCCACTCAACAACGGTAGGTGTGCAGTAAGGGGCTGAGTGGGAGGCAGGAAGTGAGAAGAGTTCATTGTGAGTTAAGAGTTTTAGGGTCTTTAAACCTCTGGAGGTTTAGGATTTGAAATTCTATACCATATAATGCCCTAAAAACAAAGATACTGGATTCTAAAAATCTTAAACCCCTATGGCCTATGGTATAAGGATTTAAGCAATTTTTGACCTATGAAATGCTGGGAGCTTGGGACCCCAACCCAAGAATTTTAAATAGAGCACTGATATGTTAAAATACTAAGCTCTCTTTAACTTCTAATACATCTTCGTTTAACCCTTGGGAGAGTGGTTTTCAAATAGTCTCTCCCTCAACCTAGGGATCTCTGAAGCTGCCTCACAGAAGGGGGTGGAGAAAGTTAGTTTACAAGAGAGAGAACACCAGGGTAGGAATTCTGAAATCCCCACTGTGGCTTCCACTAGAGAAACTCCATTTTTATTTGATTTATATGTGGAGCTTCTACATGCAACTTAATTGAAAAGAAGAGTATTCCTGCTCAAGCACAAAAATATAAGTTTTAACACTGCTGTCCTAGGAACACCGGACATGAAACTTATGAATGTAGAGTTGCCCAGGAAGCCACATTCAGCCTCTTTTTTCTTTGCTTGTTTTGTTTTGAATGGGGGCAAACAGTGGCAGAGATGCTTTGATTGGTAACCATCAAAGATGCTGGAGAAATCATATGGAGACAGCTGAGCAAATCAGTCATTAGTTGATTGTGGCCTATAAGCTCATTTCTGCTATAAAATCAATAATGGCAGCTACTGCTACTACTCTGAGTGTTGTTGTTAGGTGCCATCGAGTTGGCTCTGACTCAGCGACCACATGTACAACAGAACCAAACACTGCCCGGTCATGTGCCATCCACCACCATAACTACTACCCTTTAGTGACTTTACTATGTGCCGGGGGCTGTGCTAAGTACTCTCTCTATATTATTTCATTGACTCCTCACAACCCTGAGAGGAGACGTTATTACTCCCATTTTACAGATGAGAAAACTAGGGTTCAGATAAGATAAGTAATTTTCCCAAGGTCATAAAGCTAGCAAATGATACATCCCGTTTTACTTGCAAGCAGAAACACAGACTGAAATGAAGGAATGCAATGGTTACCGGTCAAATGCCTGGCAACCTCTGCTAGGGAACAATCTTAAATTTTGACCAATAGATGGCGCCAGTGAGTTTGGCAGCCCCCCTCAAAGTTGTGTCCAATTCAGAGAAGTCTTAGCTAGGGCTCAGAACTGAAGCAGCCTGTCTCAGCTTGAGGAAAAAGGGGACGAAAGATGGCCATCATTTTGCTCCTGAATGACATGACATTGGCCTGCCCTGTTTGTAGATGAGCAAAAGATACAAGAAAGCCAGCAAGTCGGGGGAGGGGGATAGAGGTGGTTCTGCCAAGAACTGCTTTAAGAAGACTTGGGAATCTTTTCCTTTCAGTATTAACTAAGCACCTCTTCTGTGCCAGGCAGTGTGCTGTGTGATGAAGACTCAGAGGCCTATCAAACACAGTCCCCATCTTACTGCTCAAGAAGGGAGGTAGATGGAAGATAGGGAAGCACTGGATGTATGAGGGCCCCTAACCTGCACTTCAGGAGCCCCGTTGGTACAATGGTTATGTGCTCAGCTGCTAACTGAAGGGTTGAGGGTTTGAACCCACCAGCAGCTCCTTCAAAGAACCTGACAATCTTCTCTCAGACTGCAGCCTAGAAAACTCTGTGGGGGCACTCCTACTCTCTTATATGGGGTCACTAGGAGTCGGACTTGACGTGATGGCACACAACAATAACAACAAACCTGCACTTGGGAGTCAAGGGAGGCTTCTCATTGGAGAAGTATCTGAACTAGTCCAATAGGATGAAAAAGAGTTTAGCAGGCATGCAGAAGTGGGAAGGCATTCCAGACAGAGGTGACAGTGTATTCAGAGACACACAGGTATAAGACAGCATGACACATTCAAGGACACACAGCATAGATTTCAAGTGTTGATAGATGAGTCTGAAGAGACAGGTAAGAACCTGGATGACTGGAATGCCTAGAATATCAATTTAAAGACTTGACTTTGTGAAGATATAGCACTGTGTTTGTGTGTATACATGTATATTTTTCTGGGGAAAGGAGTCACAGATTCTCAAGAGGATCTGTGATATCCCCCACCAAAAAAAAAAAAAAAAAAGTTAAGTGCAATTATTCGTAAGGTAACAGACAGCTATGGTCGGGCACTAAGCAGGGGCAGCACATTGTATGATCTGGTGGCCAGTATGATGAATTACCAAGGGACATACTGGAGGCCAGAAAATTAGTTGAAGAGTAAATGGTACAGGGGTAGGTATGAGGGCCCGGGCTGGGGTAGGTGCAGTGGGCATTGAGGAGGTAAAATTGATAGGACTTAGTGAGTTTGGTTTTTTGGGAGCAGTTCCCCAGCCTCTCTCCCCACATGCACACACTCATCTCCAAGGCTCAACCGAGGCTGAACCTCTTATCAACCCCTTAAGCTCCCTATGGCAACTTCCAGCTTTCAAGCTGTCCTTTGGGGGCCTTTTTGGCCCCTTTCCATGCTATCCTTGAAGTTTAATCAAGCCTGATTTCACAAATAGACAGAGAGGATCTATGCCACAGGCTGGCTCCCCAGCCCTGTATCTCCATGGAGAAAACTGTCGACTGACCTCAACGTAGAACAATGGGTTGGCCTTGAGCTGGTCTCTGACCCTCTGCCTACGGCTTCACAACATGGGCAGAGTTCAGTTAAGAAATCAGCACAGTTCCAGGAAAAAGGCAAAGCATCATCCAGTTTATTTTTCTCCTGATTCATGTCATGCCAACACACAGGACCCAGTAGATAGCAGGAAAAATGGGTGGTCTCCGGAGCAGGCTGATTCTCTAGATGTCCCCTTCCCTTCTTGTAAACCTCATCAGAAGGGCACTACAACTTGCAAGGATCTGTTGGTGCCCCTGGAGTCACAGCCAGACATCTGGCTTTCCATGGGGAAACGAGATTATGCACTACCCAGAAAGCTGGGGAGTCAAAGGGCCCTAAAGGGTGATTGCATCCCTCTTCATGAGATCACCCTATCCTGATCTGCTTCCTAGGGGCTTTGGAAAACAGGTTTCCTTCCCTCAAAGTTCCTGGGACCCTTCCACTGTCAACACAACAATAACCCAGGAATGAGATACCAGAGGCCTGGATTCAGGACAGTTGGGTATAGCCAGGGTGAGCTGGCAGCTCAAGAACCCAATGTTCAGACCAGGGAGCTATGCCTGGACACTCCCAGCTAATTGATGCCCATGGAGCCTTGCCAGAGGTACTGAACCCCAGTCAGACTCTGACTGACTGAAGTTCAGTTTAAACAGGTAAGAGGTGGGGAAGGGGTATGAACTGTTGACCTGCATGGTACTGACCCTAATACCCTCACACACTCTTCTGGATCGTTTGCATCTGCCTCCTCTTTCTCCTCCTCTTCTTTGTCCTCTTCTTCCTCCTCTTCCTCCTCCTCCATATCGTCACTGTCTGAGTCTTCATATAAGTTGATGGTGGCCTGGACAGGGAAGTTCTGCAGTAAAATCTCCCCATCACTGTACAGGTAGTCAAAGGAGCGGGATTTAGGCCAGAAGAGCCTGTGGACAGAGAAAAATGGCCCCTGACTTAAATAGGTCTCATCTGTGCAAAGGGGCCAGTAGGGCCAAGAAGGATGTCAGCCCCTGAGCCCTTCTCTTAGCTGCAGGAATGGGGTCAGAGGAGTAAGACAGAGAGAGCTTTCTAACAGCCTTCTAAATTGTTAGATCATGGCTGCAGGCAGGAAAGCAGCCTCTGGCGGGAGGCCTTGGCCCCAGCATCTATCAATTCTGGCACCCAGGAGGCCTCCAGTCAAGAATTCCCTAGTGCTGTGTCCCCACCTCCTTTTTCTACTAAGATTTCCTTCACTGACCTGTCCATAAGGGCTGTTTTAGAGGTCATTGACAATACCTTCAGGGAAGGCAAACTTGGCCAAGTCTCTAAAACCCCTCTGGGCTTCAGTTTCCTTGGCTATAAAACAATGGCTCACAGCAGGGCCTCCCTCCTCCTGTTTCACAGGACTATTTTGAGGATTAAAACAACTAATGGATCTATGTCAAGGTCTGAGCCTGGTGCCAGAAGCTTACCTGACAGGGTGATGGAATTTGGAGTCAGCCTTGGTGACCTCGGCAGCTGTTGCCCCACCGGCAGCCTGTCCAAAGCACATTTAGCATGTTGGCTCAAAGTACATGGTCAGATAACTACGCCCACCATATCATAGATCAAAAACCTGCAGGTAAGATGATCTAAAAGAGACCTTAGATATCACTGGGGTGCAGCTCTTCCCCACCCCAACAAGGGGTCTCTCTTGGTTCTGGTTGAAAAAAACAAGTGAACAGAGTCCTGGAGGTTGTTTTCTTCCTTTCCCCCATTTTCAACATCTTTCTGGAGGCTGTCGAGGGCACACAGTTCTGCTGAAGCAGCAAAGACTCAGAAGGAGTACTGGAGCTAGGAACTAGGAGACTAGGGTTCTAGCACCAGATCCACCACAGACTCTCTGGGGGACTTGCCCAAATCCCATTCCTACTGAGTCTCAGTCCCTTGATCTTTTACATTGCCATAGAAATCTTGAGTCCACCCTCCTCCAAGAACTGTTGTGGAAATCAAATGTGGGAAAGGCTGTGAAGACACTTTCCCACATCTGCAGCCCTGGACTGAGGTCAAGACTTCTCTGGGAAAGGACCTGGTCACTGTGAATGCACACGCCTGTGTGTGTACCTGAACACGTATGACAGGGGCTCAAACTCACCAACTCTGACAGTTTCCTCATCTGCCTTGGGAGGTCATTTGCAGGGGACAGCCAAGGCCTCCAAAGACAAGCTCCTCTAGGATAAAGAGGAAAGACAAATCAGTGGAAGAGATTGGAAGCTGGACTTCCTGAGATAACAAAAGAGGCCTTTCCTCATGTTTCTGAGCTTGGGTGGGACGAACACCCCTTCTCTTTGCCTCAACAATTGTATCACTGTTCGTATCACTCTGTTTTGTAATTGTCTGTTTACTTGTCTTTGAGCTTCTTAAGGGCAGGGAGTTATGTTTGATCATATCTGAATTTCCAACACCTAGTACATTGCCTGGTACATTGTAGTTGTTCAGGAAATGTTTAAATGAATCAATGGGGGTTGGACAGATACATACCTTGCCTTCTACCTCCTCCTCCTCCAGGAAGCAGAGCTCAGAGCCCTACCATCTTCCTGGGCTGGGGAGAGAAGCCAGAAATATTCCTGGTCCCATTGCTTCCCCACTAGACTTCCAGAGGTCCAAAAATGCAAATGGAATTCTGCTGGTGTGGCCAGGAAAGAGACAGTGACCCAGTCAAAGCCTCTTTGGACTTTGGCCCTATTTCTAACTCCCCCGTGCTCCACCCCCTCCGCATTAAACCCTATCTAGGTAACATTAAACCCAGGTTTCACAGCTATGCCCCCTGTGCCCCTCAGAGGATAACTAACCAAGAGGGCCTGGCTACTTGGCCTTCAGTTTAGACACTGCTCTCCAAGTCCCTCCTGCCACCCAGAGGGACTAGTGTGGTGAAAGCCAAATGAGATATTCCAGCCAGACATGTGGAAGGGGCTACTCTCAGTGGGCTGTGAGGCCTTGGCTTTTCCCCTTGGGAGAGAAAAAGGGTACCCTAGACACCTCATTTTCCTTCCTCTTCAAGGAATTATACTAAGTCTGAGTTCAGGTTGCTGAAGGCCAAGTTCCACTTACCTTTCACTCCTGTGTACTTCTTGTCCAGAGAAAAGGGGCAACTGGCTTAACAGGCCAGGGAATGCCACGGGGTCTTGCGCTGAGGCCTGAGCTAGGGCCAGGGCTGAGGCAGGTGCAGCAATAGCAGGATGAGCAGGGTCCATCCTTAGAGTGCTAAGGCCAGAATCTTCTGCAATCTTTTGGCCTTTCCTGGGAGACCCTTTTATAAGCCTTGACTGGACTCATAAATTATTCAGGGAAGGGAGGGGGCTGAGGGGGGAATGAAGATTTAGGGAAGGAGCTCGGGGAGGGGTGGCTGGGTTCCTGGGTGTGAAATCTCTCCCAGTTGAATAAACAGGCCATCAGTAGGGGGTGAGGGGCTTTCTTTACCTCCATGTCAGAAAGGAAAACACAGAAGGGACAAATCAGACACCATTTGTGTGAATTCCCTAGGCAGTAGCAAGGCTGGAGTGCAGAGAAGAGGGGAGCTCATTAGCACCCAAAATCACAGAACGTTGTCAGGGACACAGGACTGGATAGCCAGGCCTCAGAAGGGACAGCTGCCCCATCCTCTGAGGAGAGTGAGGGATTTGAATGTTATTTCAGCTCAAGCCCCAACTAGATTTTCCAGGTGGACTTGATACCGGTGACCACCATTAAGTACCTGGACTAGGCAAAAAGAAGGCACTGGGGTGGAGTGGGCCAGTTGAGGTAAACCTTAAGTCTTCCTTCCAACCTCCCACCTCCTTTACTGGTCATTCATTTGCAAAAGTGCCTGAAACCCCTCTCCAGCCTCAGCAATTGAGTGGCCCAGTGAAGGAGGGTGGGAAGGGTTTTGCAGGGCCTCTGAGTCAGATTCCAAATCTCAGGGCCAGGGTGCTGGGTGGAGGAGGAGTTCTGCCCAGCCACTAAGCTGCTGAGAACTGCCCCTGGCCCCTGGGCCTCGGTTCCCTCACGTGAGATGAGGGTGCTAGCCCAGTGGTCCCAAAGGACCCTGCCAGCCTGAACAGTCTGTGACTGGGGCTGGGTAAATGGGTACTGACCCCAGGCAAGCCCAGAGTCTCCAGCACAGTCCTCGGCCTCAGCCAGACTACTGGGCCCTTGCCAGAAATGCTTCTAGTTACAACTACTGGCAGACTCCTTAGGCTTTAGAGGTCTTGAAAATATTCCTCTTGACCTCAAGCGTCCAGCACCAGCACAGATTAGCTGCTTGGATGTTCGTCATAGCCTGGTTTGTAATCATCAACAATCAGAAACAATTGCAATGTCCAATAGTAGGAGAACAGTTACATTAATTAGGATAGATCTTTACAACCAAATATTAAGCAGGTACTCACACTCATGTTCTAGGAAGTACAATTACCAACACAGAAATTGTTGTAAAAAAAAAATCAGATGGGCACAGGGAGACAGCTCAGGGGGCAGGAGTGTATGGAAGGATGGACACTGGGAAGAGGTAACGATGGGGAGGAAGTGGGAGGGGAGCTGTTGCATTGTGGTAAACTGTGGTCAATGACATGAGACAAAGTATATGTGAACTGCTGTATGGAAAGTGAATTTGCTCTGTAAATCTTCACCCAAATCACACACACACACACACACACACAGATGATCAAATAGTACACATAATTTGATTGAAGGTCTCCTCTTTTCTCTGTCCACCTACCTTCCACTTTCACCTCAAAATCCAGCCCCACTGTGCTTTTTTTTTGTAAAAAAGAAAACTTGAAGTTTGTATGTGTGTTAACTTTTGATTATCCAGCTAATGTCAGTTCATTGTAGAAATTTTTAGAAAATTTAGATAAATCATTGATCAGTTAGGAAATATCAGTTGCTACTGGCATGGTCGAAGAAGAGGGAAAAGTTAATATATTGAAGAGTTTTTCAAAAAAAGAAGAAAAAAAACCCAAACTCACTGCTGTTGAGTCGATTTGACTCATAGCGATCCCTCCTTGGGTTTAGGAGGCAATATCTCTACAGAAGTAGATTGCCCAACCTTCCGAGGTGTGGCTGGTGGGTTTGAACAGCCAGCCTTCTGGTTAGCAGTCAAATGCCTTAGGCACTATGCCACCAGAGCTCCCGAAGAAGAAGAAGCCTCTGAACTATTGCAGGATGATCCCATTTTGGTAAAAGAAAGAAGTGTAGCATATAGAGTACACAGAGAGAGTAAGGCTGCTTAGAAATGAAGAGAGTATTGTAGTGCTTGGTTCCAGGAGTAGGAATATAGTGTATTTTTATTTCTTTGTGCTTTTCTAAATTTTCTGAACTGACATTATTTGGGTAATAAAAGGTAACGACACACACCAACACATGGAAAGACACATAGAAACAAACAGTAAGAAAGACAGACATGCTTATCCATGGAGAACAGAAGACTCTTGGGGCAACTTATAATCATTTTCAAATATTTGAGAATTAGACTCCATGAGATTTCATTTGTGCTTTATGACTTCAAAGGGCAAGACTGGGGCCCAAGGGTGGAAGCTACAGAGAGACAGAGTTTGGCTCAAGCAAAGGAAAACTTACTAACAGCCAGTCACAACCTAACCCAATGACCTGGCTCTGTACTGATCCTCAATAAAGAGAGATTTATTATATGTGGTGAAATGAGTCCGGTGAAACGTGGTGCCTTGGACTGTCACTGAATTGTGTCAGTGCAGCTGGATCCTGAAGAGGGAAGTCCTGGGGATGAGGCCCAAAAGAGGGGACTACTGAGAGTCTGAGCTTCTATCAGTCCCTGAGGCTACATTTATCCAGGAGATGAAAATTTGGCTGGAAGGAGATGAGATTCAAAAGCAGAGACACTTTAGAGTTGGCAGCAGACCTATTTTCACACCCTAGGATCTTTGTGACCTCTAGGTGGCCATCCAAAAAACCAAACTCACTGCCATGTAGTTGATTTGGACTCATAGTGATTCCTGTTGGGTTTCC